AGATGAGGAGGCTTCGTATGAAATTTTAGACTCTGTGGAGGACGAGACTGCGACAGAAGAACCGGTCGTTATGACGAGATCGACCAGAGGAAGAAAGGAAAGGACGACTAAGAAAGACCAAACAAGAAAAGAGGACACACCGACAAGAAGGAGGCGCACTCCTGCCAGAGAATCACAGGAAAAAACAACGAAGAAAGAGAAGAACGCTTCTCCAAAAGAGAGCTCACCAACAAAGAAGAGTGACATCCCTGCAAGAGAGGAAATAGATGAGGATGCGACCTATGAAATATTAGACTCTGTGGAGGACGAGGTTCTGAAGGATGACCCGCCCACTACRGGAGGAAAAGGAAAGAGGGGAAGACCAAAGAAAGCAGTTAAATCAACTAGAAAAGACATCGTAACACTGAAGGGGGACAAAGATGCATCTGAAAAAGAGGCTGATGAAGAAAAGGTGTCATATCAGATTCTTGATGCTGTGGAGGATGAGATGGTCGACGATGGCCCTCCTCCAGRAGAGTCACCCAAAAACAAGGAGGAGGAGCCTGTGTATCAGATTGTAGACTCTGTGGAAGATGATCAAGTTCAGGAAGAGTTGACCACCGAGGTGTCCGAGGGAGGGACGAAGGAAACGAGTAAGACAAAAGATGAAACTCGTCCAAAAGAGGAGGCACCACTTTGTAGTGCCATTGTTTTGGAAGCATCACAAAAAGTGTTCCCAGAGGATTTAGAAAGTGGAAATGATCCATCTTGTGCAGAAGAGTCTGGTGTGATGAAGAAGGAAAAATCACCCAAAATAGACATCAAGAAAGAAGATACATCTGCAAAACAGTCCCAAGGAGATGTCGCAACTCCAGCAGAAGAGAAGAACCAGCAACCGTCCGGTAAAAGTGACACAGTAGCTGTGGAAAGTGTTCTGCTGAACCTGGATGAAGTGAGCGATGAAGAGGACGATTACCCTGAAGACACAGCCAAGGTGGAAGAATTGAGAGAGAGGCAAGCTGCTGTTAAAGAGAAGCAGCTCGCCAAGGAGCAAGAGAGGAAGACCAGGCAGAAAGATGGGAGGGAGCAGAGGAGTCGGAGTGGGAGGTGGAAGGCGAAGGAAAGGGGAAAAGAGAGGGACCCCAGAGAGCTGGTGACTCTGGATGAGGTGGGAGCAGATGAGGCAGGGGAAGGAGCGGTGGCACAGTGTCGAGAGCTGGACGTTGAGATCACAGCAGGAGAACTGCAGGGGCTCGTCACTCTGGATGAAATCGTAGAAGCAGCGGAGGGAGAAGTTGAGGAAGGAACGTTGGAGACCCGCCCACCCATCAAAGAGGACCCCGCAGTGGAGGTAACGAATTTACAAAATGTTAATTCAGTTTTCTTATGCAGGGAAATCACATGTACAGCATAACACAAGTTTGCTGACGCTATTGATCTCTTGACTTCTTTTAGGCTGTGGATGAAGCAGGTGACGATGAGGAGGGGAACAAAGAGGAAGCTGAGAAAACCTCCAGACCTGTGAAACGCAGAATCAATGACGATACAGGTTTGTGGAGCCTTTTATAAGTTACAGTGTATGAATTTCAGTTTTGGGGAATTTCAATTTTTGTTTCTTTTGTTCTTTGTCTTTTTTTTTTTAGAGGAGAGTATGAAGTTTGTGACGGTGGACGAGGTGGGAGAGGTGGAAGAGGAGGAGGAGGAGGAAAAGAAGGAAGCTCCCAGGACAAGAGGCCGACCCAAGAAGAGAACCAGAAAGATGCCTGGTAACACAAACATCTACGTTGTTTTAAACATGCCATTACTCCGAGGCAAAGATCTAAGATTTAAAAATTAAAAATATAATTTCATCATTTCATAATTGTACGATGATGAAGATCTAAAAGATGAAATGAATTCGGCTATTACTGTTTCATTTGCGTTACTTCATCATCTTTTACCACAGTGAGAAAATCTACCAGAGGGAAGAAAGTTGTTGCAAAAGATGTGAGAGAAGAACAACAGGAATCAGGCTCTGAAGCTCCACCTCCCACTTCTCTCGACGCCTCGTCGTCATTGCACAAAGATCCATCAACGTTATCGGGTGACACCCAGGGAGAGGTCCAGGAGGCAGAGGTAGAAGGAGCAGGCCGTTCGGACATCGATGCTGCCTCTGCTGGGGAGGACCTGCGGCCTGAGCCCCCTGAGAACCAGAGGCCTGAAGGAGAGGAGGAGATAGAAGGACGGTGCACGGAGGACGTTAAAGGTACAGAGAGCCCAGCCTATGGATGTAGCTGGTGTGATGATGATCCCTGATCTTGTTCTTTCTTTTTGACTTTAGTACTGCTGGTTATTATCTGCTGCTTAATTAATTGACTAATCATTACAGATGATTTATTAACGGTTCTCTCTGCCTCTTCTTCAGTTCCGAGCAAAAGGAAGGGGGATCTTGTCGGACCTGAGGCAAAGAGATCTCGCTCTGTGTCTCCCTCCATGTCCACCGACATCAAACTGCCACCATTCAGTCCCAGCAGCCCCGTCGGTGAGAAACACACTCGCACTCAATCTCACTTAATATCCATTGCGTTAGATTTAAGATATTTAGTTTTACATTTTCTGTTTCCCATCAGGTCCAGAGTTTCTGGTCCCCAAACTGGGGTACTTCTGTAATCTCTGCCATGTTTTCTGCCTGCACGAGAGCAGCGCCAAGGACCTGCACTGTAGCAGCCAGACACACTACGACAATCTGCAGGTACGCACCAACGCACACACAAAATATAACACAAAAAACACACATGGCCTCACACTGTGCATTTATTTCACTTTCTTTTTTTCAGAAGTACTACCAGAAGCTTCAACCTGAACCCAGAAAAGGGTCAACGGAAAATCCTCAAGCTTCCTTTTCTGATTGATCCAGACTTCAGCTGCTGATCTTTTTTAGTATGGTTGGTCCACAGAGGAGATTTATGAACTTTTTGAGTTACAGGGAAGGTTTCTGATTATTGGAGGTTTACCTGGCACTCTGATGATTTACATTAAGCTGTTGCACTATCCAGGGCATATATGATGATATTAATTCACATGTTCATTTATGAACTGTTTTTGGAAATGTGATTAAAGTTTGGTCCGGTTGACCTTGAATCGTTGAATGATTGAGCGGTGCGAACATCAGTTTCTGGGAAATCTTTGGGACGAGGATTTCTGGGCAAAGAGATGCTTTTTTCTTTTACTCTGAAAGTTCTGGTGCATTCAAGTCATGTTGGAAGAATCAGAAAACCAAGATATTAGCAGAAACCATGATAACAAATAAGGTTTTTTTTTTTCCTACTGTCGATGTATTTGAAAGCTCTGAACAATAAAACTCAACTTTTTTTTTTTGAGACATCCATGTTATTTTTGCTTTCGTATTTAATTACGCTTAAAAAGACTTTCCAACTTGGCAATTTGAAAAATCCAGGGAGTAACTGAATTCAATTTTTTTTTTTTGTAATTATTATTCGGATATTTATTTACTTTGAAAACCTTCACCAACTCCGTCAGGCTCTCCTGACCCCTGTTTTTAGGGGGTTTGGTAGCTTTGCTCTCGTTGACGATTAAGGACAGAGGATTTCGAACCTTGTTACGATGTGAAAATAATTTTGTAGGGGGCGCCGTTGAGTAATTCTTTAGAATCGATATCCTGAGCACATTAAAATTCGTACATTTTTACGAGACTTGTTGCGCCTGTGAGTTTTTGAGTATGTTAAGTCACTGAAAAGAAATGAATTCATAAGAAGACAAATAAGAATCCAAGTGAACCCAATAATAAGGTCTGACAATAAATCCAGCACTGGCGCTTTTACTCTGAAGGCTCAACAAGCAAAGCGGAAGTCTTTCACGATCTTAAAACTTCCGGGTGTCGATGGCGGACAGAAGAGATTGAGCCTGAAAGCGAAAAACGAGAGAAAGAGAGGGATGAAGTGAAGGTATGAAACCCAACGCAGCTGCGTTAGAGAACCGCGGGGCCGCTGACACTCGCCGTGTTCGGTGCTTGTCTCTGCGGTCGTTTGTCTCCGTGCCTCGCGGCGTTAGCAGGTGCTAGCAGCAGGAGCTAGCTCAGGTGTGTGTGTGTGGATGGGGGGAACTTCTGTGCTCGTCAAAGCCGAAAGGTGTTTTCAGACAATAAATCCTGTGTTTTAAAAATGTCTAAATGTCTCCGAACGAGTCGTTGGGACAGAATGATCCTTTGAGTCCTCCTCAGTGTACTGTCACGTGTTGTTGTTCTTTTCACGAAGTGAGAAGAGAGAAGTCTGCCATTAAAACCTGTTATTAACATATATAACACATTCCGTAGCTTTGATATTTCATAAACCCTGTGATTCCCAATGGGTCTCATCCTACGGGTCAGTCAAATGTATGTTTTGAAATGGAAACTGTTCCTCTCTGTCAGTCTGTGCTTGTCTCGACTGTTTCCACCGGGGTCGAGCCTGCAAAGGAAATAAATGAGTTTGTTTCTCTTCCAGAGTCGGACTTTCCTCACCTCTTCTTCTTTGCTAGTGAAGCCCAGGAGATGTAATAGACAGATAGACAGAGTGAACGCGTATCTGGCAGGAGGCCCCGGAGAAGACGAGACCTTCCACATAATGGATGTTACCGTAGACGCCGATGTTCAGTCTCGTTTAATAATTTCCTTTCTTTTTTTAAAATTCAGCTTTGCATTGCTATTGGAGCGTTGTGCCCTTTATCCTGCTCCAGGGCCCTTACGAGGCCCCTGCTCGGAGGGCTCGCAGGGAGCCTGCTCCTGATTGAAGAGCAGACTGTGTCATTCAGGCTCATCTGAAAGCCCAGTTTCCACTGTTGGACCTGCTGTGGACCAGGACTGCCCCATCCATCAACCTCCTTGACCTTCTTAAGATTGTAAACACCATGTCTCATCCCCTTTATAACCCGTACGACTCGGGGAACCAGAGTTCCACCCAGGGGCCATATGGACTCTCTAGTGTGCAGGCAGAGAGGGACCCTCAGAGGGCAACCAATGTCCTGGGACCAGGGTCCAGCTTCTGTTCTTCTGCAACTTCTTCTGCAACTCCTGCCAACCACGGTGGAAAAATCCCATCACTGCTGAACTACAGGCCTGAACAGGGTCCGGCCAGAATGAACATAGGGGACATACAGAGGTCTGTCAACTCGCATATTAGCAGAGCCAGAGAAGAGGGGACATCCATAGGCCAGAGCACTCGCTTTAACCACACTCACAGAGATGAGATTCACTCCTCAGGCGCAGGGACAACTTCCTATCAGATGTCCTCTGCCTCTGTTGGACACAGACACTCTGATGTTGGAAGTAGAAGCAGCTCCTTGGACTGGTTGCCGTGCTACGAAAGATCAACAGCAGATTCTTCCTCGAATTTTTTTTCATCACCTGCTTCTTGTCGCCGTACCACGAGCGGTGGCAGTACGTTTAATGCGTCCAGTGAAAGACAGCGTGATGGACAGTCCGTTCCAGAATTAGGTGATTATGACTATCGTGTGCCAGACAAACCTGCAGCTCCGACTGAGACAACTCACCCCATGTACACTTCCGAATCTGCTTCTAGCATCCTTTTAAATTTTGGACTTGAAAGAGAGGATTTGGAATATCTCGTCCAATACCCTGAGGATCAGCTCACCCCTGCCAAACTTCCGTTCATCTTGCGGCAAATCCGCATTCAGAAGACCAGTAGGGCTATGACGGCAGTTGAGTCAAAACCCTATCCTGAACCCCAGCCATTCAGAGGAGTCAGTGGCAGAGACCATAGTTCTGGAGGGTCCTCTGCTGTTCTCCAGCCCAGTAAAGTGATTGACTATGGACATACTAGCAAATATGTTGGAGGGGCTGCGGATGAGGTGGGAAGAAATAGTGGCAGAAGTGCAAACAGTGGTGGGAGTGGCAGTATGTTGTTAGTGAACACTAACAATAGCAGCCACAGTGAAGAACCACCTCAAAAGAAAGGTAGCTCTGTCGCCAACTCTTCATACAATTCAATCCAGAGCTCACTTGCTCCCCCATGCATTGATCCAGCAAAGCGATTGAAGACCCAACCAAACCAGACACCTCCAACAATCGTTAGTTCTTCTATGCCAAGTAAAGACAGAGACAGAACAGTTTATACGCCTGAAACCTGCAAACCCCTTCCATTGAAAGAACGAGAGACAGATAGCAAGTTAGCATCAATGACCCAACCCTCTTGCACTTTGTTTCGTGGTGTGTATCCTAACCGACCTGGTCTTGTGGTCATTGGCAACAGTGATGGCAGTGGCACTAAGAATCAGAGCGCAACTCAAGGTAAAGGGTCAGTTGTTGCTGAGCAGAAGCAGGTGCAGCAGAGGCAGCAGAACCTGATGCAGCAGAAACAGGTGCAGCAGAACCCGATGCAGCAGAGGCAGCAGAACCAGATGCAGCAGAA